TATTTTTATAGCTGAGGCAATAGCAATTCTAAAAGCATTTGAATATGTCTATCAGGAAGAGATCAGAATGCTATAATCTTTTTCGATTCACTTTCCGTTATTTGAAATTTTAAAATCAAACTCAAAACACAAACCATGACATTATTTTTAGCATCCAAGCAATACTTAAACATTTTCGAGATCAAAAATAAATATATAAAATTCTTCTGGGTCAAAGCACACGCAGGAATAACAAACAATGAAATTGCAGATTAAATTGCAAAGAAAGTATAGTAATGGGGGAACAAATCAATGACGCCTTAACTACGCAGATGAACAAATAATCATCGCAAAACAGAGAATGATGAAGAAATGGTCCTATTTATGGCAAGAGTACAGCTTTACAATCCAACACGTTACACCGACTTGAAACAAAGTAAGGAGAAAACCTTGGTACAATGAGTAGTATAACTACTTATCAGCAGAATGAAGTTTGGTCACGCATGTTATCCAGCACATTTATTTAAAATAAAAATACTTGAGAGTGATCTTTGTGAAGCCTGTAATAAAATCGGTGACCTGGACCACATCTTTTTGACTGTATCAAAATATAGAGCTCAATCTAATGAGCTTTTCAGTAACTTTTAACATTAACATTGCCCATATATATACTGCATCTTCTTGCTTTAGACAGAAAAAAATTTACGATTGTTTGCTGTCTTTCGTCAGAACAACGAATATACAAATATTAACCCTTTGTTGATACCTGATGTCTTTCCTTAAGTATGTATACCTATCTGTCCTAGGCCTACCTTTTATCGTTTATAAAAATGCCCTGATCGGCCTCTGGCAGAAGGTGTAATCCCTGTGTAATCCTTGTACTGTATCTATTTTTAAAAATTTGTATCTTGACTGTGTGGGTATTTACCCTAAAGCCAATACAAAAAAAATCTATTCCACATAAACCAAGTCATTACACACCTGGAAAAACAAACATATTGTACTTCGACAACCCCAGAACTAACGATTAAGAACATTTTAAGCAGTTTCAAAAGTTGTTTAAAGACACTACTGGAAATAAATTTACCATGAAATACAAACCCGCTTCTATGTTTTTCAGAGAAACAAATTTTAGCTTTAAAAACAGAAGACTGAGACATGTGACTATGTCGTAAGTGTGAAATTAAACTAGAAAAGAACCAGAATGATGAATGCGTGTTGATTACAAGCTCCACAAAAAGAGACTGGAGGCATATTTCAAGATAAAAAATGATTACTCAAGAAAGGCAATAGATGATAGTGGCATTCTTGTCCTGGAATTTGACCACGCACAAAATCTACTGTTGCCAAAGCTCAGCATAACAAAACAGTTCTATAAGAGACTTTTATGGATCTATGTATTCAATATACATGTGCGTAGTGCTGGATTATCATTTGATTATTCCTGCATGAAAATATCAATATAAAAAGGGAGCAAGTAGTGTTGCTTCATTCGCCTTTGACTGTATTCATAATAAATTAGCAGATTATCCCTAATAACCAGCATATTGTTCTTTTATCAGATGCAGCTGGAGGTTTAAATAAAAATCAGGCTCTGTTACGGTTATTTTTTCTTGATATCAATAGTATACAGAGTCGAAATGACACATATTTATTCTGTTCGTGGACACTCCTTTAGTGAGTGGCCTTAAAAGAGTTCAAGATGTCGAGGAACTCAAAGTCTACCTAGAAAAAATCGTACAGTGCAGACAAACTCCTTCTCTTTCTACCTCAAACATGACTTCTACATAATATATGACTGGAATGCAGCACTTCTTCCTTATTTTTTAAAGAAGTTTGTGAATGAAGATTGTGAATTTAAAATACAACAGTATCGCGTGCTGAAGTATAAACCTTGTGGGACACTGGCTGCTTCTAAAACCTACTTTGAAATGTATACCACTTTTAAATTTGCAAAAACGTTGCCACTTGACCTTACTCTTACACCTTTGCCTCGGATTTTATGAATCAGTTTAAAATAAAAGACGTGAGAGACTTGTTTCAGTACTTAAGAAAGGAATGTAGAAATTTCTACAAACTTTTATTTCAAGAAAGCACACCGGCGGAAAACAATGAGACCATGAGAGTAGTGCTGATGACTCAGATGGTGAGGAAATTTAGCATAAAATTATATTAATTTTAATGTAGTGTAAACAAACAAAACGGATGATAGATGAACCAGAAAGATTCTGGAATGGCGACCAAGCAAGATGCATATCGAAGCAGAGGACGACCACCGACTAGATGCGGACGGATCAAGGCGCATCACCACCAACTGGATGCAAGAAGCTCAAATAGAAATAGATGGAAATTTTACGGGAGGCTACGTTTCAGCAGTGGACAAATATAGGCTAATTGATGATAATGAGTGTAAACAAAATAAAAGTTTTCTTCTTGTACAAAGACCTTGATTATTATTTAAATCTTTGTATACTATAATATTTAACTGTAGTATGATATACAACAGTAAAAAGTTATGTCTTTTTTACAAAGCTTTATTTCAAATGTATTTTCAGAGAAGGGCTTATGTACTTGTTTTAATACTCTCTTAAAGAGAAAAAACGACTTTTTTATATAAAAGTTTTCTTTGCAAGTGTTTGGTTCCCTGCATGGATTTAATCTTTGAAGCTTGTCTCAAAACAATTTTTAGCAGATAACCTTTTTATACAGGCCAAATTAAAATAACAAGATAGCCGAAGACTTCTACAAAAGCCTGTCTAATAAATTAATCAAAAGCAAAAGTCAAAAGAAAAATAAAAAACGTGGAAATCAGAGGATTTAACTAACAATATTAAAGGGATTCAATATAGACAAAATAGAAAGAGCTTTAAAAGGGGTAAAAGATAATAAATGTCTAGAAACGGCGTATAATTGCCGAGCTCTTGATCACAAACAAGACAGTAATAATCTCTGTACTAACAGAGCTATTTAATAGATGTCTTCATAATAACAAAATCTCTAAAGACTAGAATGAGAGTATAGTATAACTCTTACAGACAAAAGGGTAAATGTGATCTAAAGAATTATAGATCTACATAGTTTCTCATTCAAGTACAAAAACTGTTTATGAGAATTATTAACAATCATTTGACTTACAAAATGGAAAATTACCAATTGGTTGAACAGGCTGTTTTCGCAAAAGATATAATACTCCAGATCATCTGCTGACAAAAAACACTGATGTTTATCAAGAAAAAACAACAGTTCCAGCACATTCTACGAGAAAAGTCGTCAAGATGTCCAAAACTTTACGTTTACCCAAAGTACTTAAGGCAGAGCTACCATTACGACCAATAGTCAGCTCTCTCGGATCACCCTTACAATCACTAGCAAAATTTCTGCTGGCCAGCTCCAACATATGCGGAGGAGTGATCTTCGCAAGCGCACCACTTTATCGACCGTATAAAGGACGTTATTCTGAACCTAAACACTTATTATTGAGACTTTGATGTAATCTGGTTATTACTCAATGTTCCAGTGACGAATCATTAAAAATTATATGTAGAAAATATCCAATACCACAGGATACACTACACTTGACGAGGCATTGCTTAAATAACACATATTTCATCTACAGATGACCAGAGGTACAAACAAGTCGAAGGAGCACCGATGAGTTCATCATGTCATCCGTAGTAGTCAACCTTTTTATGCAAGTATGAATCGAAAGCATAGAAACAGCAAAGCATAACTCAAACTGTGGTTGGGTATATTAACGACCATATTTATTATATGGACGCAATGAAGAAGAGAACTTAATGAATTGCTACAACACATTAATAATATCGATCCAAAAATACAGTTTACGATGGAACGGGGGAATAACTAAAACTTCATGTTTAAATGTATTAGTTATAAAAAAAAATAGTAATGCATAGGACATACAGTATGACGAAAACCAACCCATATGACAGGTAGTTACACGCAACTCACACAATCCTCTCACAATTAAATTCGGTAACTCAGAACCTTATAACAAAGTCTAAGAAACTGGCAATGAGGACCATAACGACGGAAAATGACCAAAGTCCAAACCGCTCTGAGCAAAAATGGTTCTCCATGTCTAGAATGAAAAGTCACAGAAATCCTAAAACAAAAGCAAATATCCAGAAAAAGAAGAAAAACCAGTCTGAAAAAACTATCTCCTTTTATAAAGGGCACCATAGACATTCAGTCAGATGCTAAGAAAAAAACAAATTAGACACATTTTTAACACCAACAGAAAAAATCACAACCAATTACCATCGGCAAAAAACAAAAGATGCATTTTTAAATCAAGGTGTATACAGAATTCCGTGTGATGATACGGATAAATCGTAACATCGGACAGACAAATCGAAGGATAAAGTTAGACGCGAAGAACATTAAAACGCCTTTGAAAGAAAAGAGAAGACTTTGAGCCTGGAGGGTAGTAGTGGCAATCTTTGCTCTTTTTCAGAGTCTCAAATTAGATTACGAGCAAACGATTCAGCTTGTTCTCCATTTTTGAGATCAAATCTCTGACGGCTGGACTATTAGTGTAGTCCTTATTCTATTCTGATTAAATCACTTTACTATAATGATTTACTTGTCTGCATTTTCAGCTAGCTGTTACCAAGAATAGAGATAGAATTGTTATTGAAATAAAAATAAGTATTTTTTGTTTTATAAGAAATGTACAATTTCAGTCAGAAATTATCTATAAATAATTGATATTTGGCCTTACATATCGATATGTAGGTCATTATTGTAGATAGCTATATTAATAGTATTTGTTAAAAATATCTGTGTGTTCGAAAAAATAGACCTGTACATTCTTATTGATTTATTTATTTAAGAAAACATTGCAGCCTCACTTTTCAAGTGAAGTAAAAAAATTTAAATTTTTTTTGATTATTTAGTTTTAATACACCTTTTGGATTTAATTGCTGTATTTATTGACTGATATACAGTAATTACCTATTATTCTTAATTTTATTACTATTATTATAATGTATAAATCGTTATGAAGTGCGCCTATTCAAACAACACCAAGCCCTATGAAAACTAAAACCTTTATGGATTTCCGAATCTTCTTTTTCAGTTTGGCTTTCTTTCGCAATTTTTTCAATTTCTTTAGATTCTTCGGTGGGTTCTTCTTCTTGTTTAACGGTCATTATTTCGTCTAAATTTTCTTCCTTAATGGATTTGGTCCCTACTTTCTTTGATTGTTTAGTTGTTTTGACGTCGTCGTGCAATTGTTGTGATGATGATGTTGTTAAAGGTGATAGTTTATTAATTTCTACTACAACCTGAAAAAACACACAGATTAAAATTTGCAGAAAATCAGTCACTATTAATTTTGTTAAAAACTTTGGACGCTAAAGGATTGACCACACGTTTAATATATTTTTTTTAGAAATTTTTCATGAACACGATGTTAAAAAACTAAAACTAAAACTAAAACAGTGAAGTGAAATATATCAGTAGGATAATTAATAATGGGATTTAACAAAATAATAGGATAATAGGATTTTATATCAAACATTTTACGTTTTATATTAAATTAAAGTCATAATCAAAACATTTTATTTACAAACCCAATTAAAAAATTTAATTAAACTAACATTAAACTTTTTGTCACAGTAGGTGTTTGATATATCCACTTTTTTCTTCAATGCATTTATCAATCATATCTCATCATGGTGCTACAGCCCTATGAAAGAGCCCGACCTTTCCAAGGTCTATTACGCCACTGCAGTCTATCCATTGCAAACCGTTGCAGGTTTGCTGCGCCTATCTTTCTACCATACTCATCTTCACCATCCTTCCATCTGAGTTTTGACCTACCCCTTTTTCTAGCTTCCCACGGGTTGTGACATTTCAGGATTCTTCTAGAGGGTTGTTCTGCTTGGTGATCTTGCTAGATAATCCTGCATCATAGTCTTCCAATTTTCTAAGAGTACTACGTCTTTACCACCATATTATTTGTTTATATCTGCGGTATACCTCGTCGATTGTATCCTCCGCCCTCACTATACACTCATTTTCAACTGATTGCCACCAAATATTCCTCTCAGGGATCCTTCGTTTCAAATCTAAGCAGAAGGTCTTGTCTCTGCCTTGGAGATGGCCATGTCTCCGATCCATATGTCAACCACTGGCTGTATATAGGGTTTTGTCTATGGTTTATTTTTGTTTTTTGGCTTAGGTTTCTAATTCTCATCTGTCTACTCAGTTCCAATCATAGCATCTGTTTGCCATTATTATCCTTCGCTTGATTTCTTCCGTTATGGCGTTCTTCGTTGGTGATCTGGGTGCCTATGTATTTGTGAATTTGTTCACCAGTTTCAAGGTTGGAGTTTAATCATAAAAAAACCCCCGGTGGTTGAAATAAATGAGGGACCGATGTTCCTGACTCTTTTGTTGGGTGTTCATGCCATCTTCTAGTTTTCTCCTAATTTACTTGCAGGCCCATAAGATTTCGAGGCATTTGAGAAGGTGGTATACATTTCTTCTAGCTTGCGTGTTGTGCGGGCAACTAGGTCTACATTCATCTGCATATGCAAAGTTAGGGATGATTTATTAAAACATGTCCTCTGTTGTCTATTCGGGCATCATGAACGCCTATTCCAGTGCTATGGACGAAAAGAGAACGCCAGCGCGTTCCCTGTCGAGCACCAACATGCTTACCAACGACTGTATTGTTCGACCTGTATTCGACTTTTGCAAACCACATTACGCAATTGTAGCCTTAACCAATTTATATACAGTTTATTCGGGGACGGGACGGACGGATGTAGGATATTCATCATTGCGCTTACATCATACCATTATATATTGTTTCTCACCTCAGGAGGGTCTAACTATTACAATAGCGGCAGAGGTTTGATGTCTACTCAAAATAGAATGGTATGTATCGATAATTGAATTCATTCGCGTTTTTTTCCAGTATTTGCCTCTAGCACAAAGCTCTGAGCATCTGAGTGTTGTTGATCGACCAGACCGCCTTAAAGCCACTTTTATTTTTCCTAAGAAGTTCCACTGACTTTGTGCATGTAGGCGACCTATAAGATCCTCGAAAATATCTTTGTATGTTGTCTGTTGCAGTTATCAATACGTTCATTATAAAGATCGTTTATTTTAACTAGCTTCATCGGTTCAAAAGAAACTGCTGCAGTATTTATGTCTTTCTTAAAGTATGGTTGCGAATGCGTATAGGATTCTTGTAGACACGTTGTTTCTATGAGTATTTCCACCAAATCAGCGAATAAATTCTGAGTACTGGCCATGAAATATACTACCACGGACCAATCCTTGGACTCGGTATAATCGGGGTGGTGCACCTTCTTATAGCGATGGCTTTAAAAAATGGATTACCGGATTATTTCACACCATACACATTTTTATTCAAAGTTTTAATTTAAAGTGTCAAAAATAAAGAACCTACACGAATATTTACAGACAAGAATGGAAAAACTTCTAAAACTAAATTAGATTATTTTTTTACAAACTGGTCACATCCAATATGAAGAAACTACAAAGATTTATTTTGGGAGATCATTTTGGTTTGGAGTTTTTGTTAATAGATGCTAAACAGAAAAAGAGCAATTTAAAATAAGTCAAAACGTAACATTCAGAAATCTTCCTAAATCGGAATTTATTAACTTTACTAAAACAGATTTTTTGTCTGAAAACTTTTGAAACAGGTTTTACGTATTTATCTCGATAATGCGAATTTGGCATTTGAAACATTTTTGAACATACTACGTACCATATTGACATATCTTGCCCAATGACTACAAAAGAATTTGCAATAGCCTAAAAATAGTTGGGTAACAAATGATATAATACACGAGGGAAATGATTTGAGAAGTTTTTTTGGCTATCACATAATTCTAAAAACATAGATATTCATTTAAAATATAAAGAAAAAAAGAAAAAATATGTCAAACTAATCAACGAAAACAAAAAGAGTTTCTTTCAAAATAGTTTGAATGTTAAGAATACTATACAGCAAAAGCAGAAGTTTATATGGCGTCACGGTTAATAAAAAAATAGGTAAGACGGTAAAACATAATAATTATGATAAAATACAACATTGCTGATAAAATTATTACTAATAATATATGAGATGGCAAACGCTTTTGTAGAGCATTTTACTATTGTCTAAAAAATAAAATCATAAATATTTTTAAAAATACACATTTTGATCATTTACCACACAACATGTAGATAAATCCTTTTATTTTTTTTCCTGTAGATGTGTATGATGTTAGAGAGGTTATTGGCTCCTTGAAAATGTTACCTCGGTAGGTTTGATTGCATATCAACAAAATTAATAAAAGTGTATTAGTGAATAATATAGCGCAACCCCTTGCAAATTTAATAAATTTATCAGTAGAACAGGGTATTGTTCCACATAGCTTGAGGTAGGAGTTGTAACTCCAATATTCAAAAGTGGAGATAATTCAATTTTAGATAATTACAGGCCAGTTTACGGTCCCTACTATTTTGGGTGTAAATTTATGAAAATTGTGTATACAAAAGAATGTAAGTTTCCTTAGTAAATACAATATATTATGTTCCAACAACACGGATTCTACCTGGAAGATCAACAGAGAGTGCTACCACTGAATTGCTTAGTTTCATTCACATCGCACTGGATCGGGGAGATTTTGTGGGGGCACTTTTCTTTGATCATTAAAAGCATTTGATACCATAAACGTAAGAGTTGCTATAGAGAAAGCTAAAAAAATCTTGGTTTTAGGGGTCAGTTCGCATTATGGCTGTCATCTTATTTACATTCTAGGAAGATCCTCGTTAAACTTAGTGACACACGATCAGATTATGGTGATATTGATATTGGGGTTCCTCAGGGTTTCAATATTGGGACCATTAATATTTCTATGCTACATTAATGATATGCCTAGATATGTCAGTTTCAAATAACATATTTATGTATGCAGATGACAACAACCCATTGCTACATCTGCTTCAAGTGCCGAGGAATTACACTGTTCAACCTGAATGTTATATCAAAAGATTTTACAGAGTGGTGTAAAAAAATGCTTTGATTGTTAATGCTATAAAATAAAACCACAAGCATGCAATTCTACTACAGATCAAAATTCAAGTTACCAGTTTTTCTATAAAAAGTGAATGATAGCCTGGTTCATTCTACAACTTCCACTAACTTTTAGGTTTGTATCTTGAATCAGTTAATACTTGAGCGGGGAATCTCAAATTAATCTCGTTTTGCAAAAGAATAAATAGTAGTATATTACGCAATATTGACCCAGTGAAAAGCTTTCTTATAAAGGAACTGGTTTTGATTATGGTTTTTTTCTGCATTTGTTTATTCCTCACTTAGCCTTCAATATTATATCTTTGGGGTAGGTGCTGTGACTCCTGCAAGAGAGTGCTTTGTCTCCTCAGGAAAGGATAATTCGGTTAATTTTTGATTACATACCATTTTGGCCTTGTCATGTCGACCATTATTTTAAAGAATATCAACATTTTTTAACAGTACCTTCTGATTTATATTTTTTAAATGGTAGTACTACAATGTAAAAGCCAATATAAACTACTTTTCATTTAATCTGCTGAGGGGGGGTTTATCACCTAGTACCCCAACTAGGCATACCGTTCAGGACTAGCAACTTCAACGTGGAGTCATATTGTCGCACATGTTTACCAAATCCATCGGTAACTCTGTAATCTTATATCATTTCAACATTAATTTAAAAACTAAATGTAATTAAAACATATGTAATCGGGTTTTTTACCCACATATTTAATCTTGGTGGCTTCATCATGTACCTCCTAGACACTGATGATGGAACATGGTTTCCGAAACACGTTTTGTCTTTTTAACTTAGCCGTTTGGGCCTAAAATATACCTTTTACAAAGGATTTTTAATTAAATTTTTAATACATGGTATACAGCCAAATCTACAGGAAACGTAGATTCCTGTGTGGATGAGAATAAATTATTATTATTATTATATTATTCTTATACGTTAATCTTTCTGCCTCGAGTTCATCATACCAGGATACAATCGCTGATTGTGATAGCAATGCGTCTATTAACGAGGGCTGAAATAAATTTTTAATAGCTTGTTATACTATTAACATGTGTCAAGCGCTAGTAAAACTTGGCACGGGTTTGAACGTAAAACGAATACTAAGGCGGCGCAGAATAGAAAACGTTTTGATGTAGTGATCGCAAATCTCTTGTAACGAAATGCACCAGAATAAGAAAAAACTGAAACAACAGCAATCGAAAGTTGCATCTTTGGATTTAATGTGT